TCTAGCTGACACGGCAATGGAGAGGAGCTGCATGAGTTTCTGCCACCAGCAGAGAGCTGCTGCTGCTGCTGTTGCGGGAGCGAGGGCTGGGGCCGAGGGCAGCGCTGGGGACAGGGCAAGTAGGATGGGAGTTATGGCTGCCTCAGACCAGTCAGTAGGGCTGCCGGGGGCTGGCTTTCCACCTGGTGACACACGGAGATAGGGCACAAGAGGACACCTTCCTGGGCAGAGCTGCTAGGGGAGCCCCACACCCGCTGCTGGTGACAAGGTGATCACCCTGATGCCCCGCCTTCCATCATTTCAGCCAACTCTGGAAAATGGGTACTGACCCTTACTGGGTGCCTGAGGCTGGGGTTCAGAGCTGAGTAGAACACAGCCCCCATGGTCTGAGAAGGTGTGTCTCAAACTGAGAAGAGCACACGAGTCGCCTGGCAATCCCAGTGAGCTGCGACTGAGTCTGGGAGAGCTTGAATTTCTGCATTTCTCACCAGCTGTGGGCAATGCTGCAGAGCCACAAACTGCATGTTGAGCAGTGGGGGGAACAGCTGTGAACCCTACCACCCACCCAGGCACAGCGTGTGATGAGGAACAGGGAAGCAGGAGAGACTGGTCTGGCTGGCTATCTGGGAAAGCCTTGCCAAGGAGGGGCCATCGAGCAGGGGCCATCAAGCAGGCCCGAGGCATGCAGAGGATCTTGCAAAAACCAGGACAGAAGCAAAGGCAACCCCTCACAAGCACGGAGCATTTATCTTAGCTCCTTCCTTCCATGCAGGAGCTCACAGAGCCCCCAAGTGCCCCATCACCCAGTGTACAGAGGAGGGGGAGGTGACACTGAGGCAGTTCACTTGCCCAAAGTCATGGGCTAGGAGGGCAGAGCCTGGTGTGCGGGAAGAAGGGCCTCCAAGGCTCAAAGGGCAACAGGAAAGGCTTTCTGGGGGCTAGGAAGTGGTCTGGTGTGGCCAGAGGAGGTGGAGGGGCAGGGGAAGGACAAGAGATGAGGCACTGCCACGGCCTGAGGCCAGAACAGGGGCACTGAAATCACCCTGAAGAGGACTGACACCAAGAAGTGCCAGGCTGTGGCCATGGCCTAGCACCCAGAAGAGCAGAAGCTTCCAGGGCTGGGCCAGGGTGGGACCCTGTGCACTCCCGCCCTCTGAGTGGAGTCTCAGGCTAGTTCTCAGGCCCAAGCTCCTGGGCCAGCATCAACCCTGTCACCATCCCCAGTGGAAGTGGGCATGACAACAGCACCACCTCTCAGAGCTGCAGGGAGGAGTCCAGGGGCTGATCCACGGGAGCCTGTCTGTGCGAGGCTCAGAACTGCGCCATCCTACCATGAGCTTGGCCAGCGCTGCAGCCGCCATCACCAATGTTAGTGTTGTTTCTGGGGAAAATGTCCCAGAGGTAGCTTTCTGGGTTTTTTCTAGAACTTGTTTCTGTCTGCTGATATTTGGCCACAGTGGCCTAGGCTACGGGAACAAAACCGAATCAGAACATTGCATTTTTGCCTGTTTTTAGAGCTAGGGGTTAACACACCTTGGCCAAGTGAACCCTGCAGGGTACACTGATGTGAGCAGTTTTTGCCCCACTAAGAATGGGCCTCATGGCAGGCAGGGAAAGTCAGGGAAGACTGGGTTCTAGGGGCAAATCTTGACCCTAGACTGCCACACTGCTGCTGTGCTTGGCCAAGGATCCTGCAGGCTGGACTGCTCTCCCCAGGCCTGGTCGCTCCCTCTCTGGCAGCAAAGGATGTCCACGCCCTGGGAGGGCAGGCACATCTCTAACAAGGGACTGATCCCAGAGGCCTCCTTGGTTTGACTGAGTCTTCTGTGCAGGCTCAGGGTCAGAGTGGGCCTGCAGGCCTGTTTGCCATACCCTCTTCTCCTGAGCCTGGCAGGGCCTCTGTAGACTCCCCAAGTGGAGTCAGGGCAGAGAAGGTACAAAATTTGGAGCTTAATCACAGGGGATCCAAAGGGTGGGAGAAGGGAAAACGTGGTGTCTCTCTGCTAAAGCCACTAGCCCGAGCAACTCCCCCTGCACCCTATGGCCCTGAGGTGGCTGTCTTCCCCTGCCTGGGGCTCTGCACCTGCTGGGAAGGAGGGAGGTGGGCAGGAGTCCTGAGACCCAGGACTCTGCCCACATGGCTCTGCCCTCGAGGGAGGGATGTTTACACTACACCAGGTGGGAGGAAAATGCCGTATGGGCGACTCTGCTTCTCGGGGCCCTGGGGACCACTGCTGTGGTGCATTTAGGCCAATGCAGCAGCTATCCAGGCATGTGATGGGCCTTGCTTCCCCATCGCTGCAAGCGATCTGCACCGTTTGAGTTTAAAGACCCAATACGCAGGCAGAGCCATTTGGTTCCCTGCAGATGCCACTGACTTCATCTTTGCAAGGCACCCTGTCTCCTTTGCTTTCCAGAAAGTCCCCTCACAGGGGGTGGGGTGATCTACCCTAAAGAGATACAGTACTGCAGCCTGCAAGTTCCCAGAGCTGTGCCCCAGAGAGCCAGAGGAAAGCAGAATCCAAACAGGAAGAGGGTCTGGCCTTGTAGCCTCGTTCATATGCACGGCCAGATGGAAACAGACAGAAGGACCCCCTTGCATGCCTGAAGAGCAATCTTAGAAAGAGCAGCTCAAGGAGGAATGAGTTTACACTTCCTGCATGCTTTCTGACCTGAACACCACCCTGCACATCCTCAGCGCCTGGCAGGTGCCCTCCTGCGGCAGCCGAGGTGGTAGGGGACAGGGCACACTCTGGCTTCTTGCACTCTTCTATTACTGGTTTGAGCTTTACCTTTTAAAATCATGGACCTGTTTGTGAAACTGGATGCCAGCTGTGGACACGCACATGTGAACATATGTGGATCTGCCTGGAGGGTCTCACATGTGGGTCTTGAAGCCCACATGTGGGTCTCAGATCAAGAGCTAGTGGTCCACAGAGTTGGGGATTCTTGAAGCAAGAAGCATTATTGGCCATGGGTACTTTCTTGGTATTCTTTCCAGGATGGAATTTCTTCCCATCTGGCGTACTTTGTTGTTTATCTATGAATTCAGAGTGAGTCCCTGGCTGACGGGAGCCAGTCTGACAGCCTTGGTGAGCTGGGCAAGCGTCTCTACAGCCTCAGTCTGGTTTGCAGCCCATTGTCTTGGTGGGGCCAGGAGCTGGGGTTCAGAGTGCTCTATCATGCAAGTCCCCCTGTGGGGCAGGGGAACTTACCCTTGTTCCCAAGCAACTGCAAGGGCTTGATGTTGCAGGGCCCTTCAGGGACCCCCTGGGCCAGACCCTGTGGCCTCAGGGCACACATTGCACCCTGTCCAGTCCTACTGCCCACAGCAGGAACCCATGTCACAGTCATCAACTTCTTGGTGCCCAGGAGGAAGAGAAAAAAACACCTTACAGATGAAGGGGTGAATCACAGAGGGTCCTGGGAGATCCAGGTGTCCTGCCCTGGCCCCAAAGCTGTGCAGCCCTCTCACAGCTCTCTGCTTCTACACTGAGACGCAGAGAAGAAGCTGCGGCACCCTCCCCCCGCTGGACACCTTCTTGTGGCTGCCGCCCCTCTCCTGGTCCGTTCTTATTGCCCCTCCCTTCCGTTCCTCTCCCTGTCTCTTCACGCTCCCACTCCCCATCTCTGGCATTCCCGCCATCTGTCCTGGGGACTTAACGTTGGCCCCTACGTGCTGACTTGAGGACACAGGATGGAGAATGAACTCCTGTGACGAGGGACAGAGGGTGGGAGCCCTGGCAAGGGTCCCGGGGTCAGTATGTGTGAGCCACTTCCCTGACCAACTGTGGCGACTGACTGCCCAGAGGAAACCAGGCTCATCGGAAGGAAATGACTGCATCCTGGGCAAGCGAGAGAGGAAACTGAGCTGCCTGCACTGCAGCCCCCACCCCCTTCCCTGTGCAGTCAGAAACAGCGGCAGCCACAGCATGCACGGGAGGTGGCCTGAAGCCAGGGCTCTTAGGCACCACCCCACTGTAGGGGCTCGGGGAACCCTTGGCTTTCCGTGTTGTTGGGAGATGTCTGTAATACAAGGGCCTGCAGCGGCTCCACCTGGCACATCCTAGGGTGCAGTTGGGCCTACAGGGCTCTGGAGACAACCTGAATTTCTCAGGCACCAGGTCTGGTCTCTGGGCCACACAGGGCTGACATGGCTCCCACTGGGGTGCAGCAGGTGTTCTCAGAGCCTGGGACCAGCATGGTCGGGCTGCAGCAGGGAAACTGCTACTGAAAGGCCCCACACCTATGTGACACTTGGCTCCTGCATCAAGGATGCACTGACTAGAACCTGGTGCTTGAATGTCAAGAGGCCCAAAGGACACAGAGACACCCAAGACTCGCTGGGTACCCTCCTACCAACTCATGTCCCTGGACATCATCCAGGACTGCATGGCTGGAGGGAAGGGGTGTCTGCTTGGGAGTTACATGGGGCCAGGGAGAAGAGCCGGCCTGCTTTCTGGAAGGAACCCAAGGGGCGAGTACTAAGAACAAACGACACGGCCACTTTCACCTGCTAGGACTGCCTGGAAACAGAACGTGTGCATGACCCCTCTCCTGCCTGGGCTGCCTGCCATATTGAGAGCTATTTTTAGCTTCTCAGTGAGGAAGGAAACAGCTGCCTAGTCGTCTTCCACCTGGAGACGCAAGACCAAAGCCCCTCGATTTGACTGGGGAGAGATGATCAGTTGCCTTAAATGGTTTTGCATTTAGCCAATGCCTCAAAAGCATCAAAGGTGCAGGAAGATGAGGAAAGAGAGCGTGAGGGTCTCTTTGGGGGGCTGCTGGAGTGCAAGGTGGGAGGTGAACAGAGGGTGAGGTCTGCCACCTCTGGGGCCTCTTGTGCTGGCAGGTCACTGGTAGGAAACCCACTGACCCCTCACACTGAAGCAGAGCTCGGGGGCTCATGAACAACAGCCCAAAGGTCTGCCATGGTCCAGGACGAGGCCCAGCACCAGCACTTCCAGGGCCCCTGAGCCAGAGCCCTCGGGAATACTCACCAGGAGTGTTCAGCAGGCTGTTTCTGCTGGGGGTGGGTATCTGGAGCTCTGAGTGGCTGACCCGGAGGTCAGGGCCATCGAGTGGGCCTGGGTCATCTGTCTGGCCTGCGGGGGATGAAGCAATTTCTGCTAACACCTCCAGATCCTTCAGGATAACCTGGGAGAAAAGCAGAGCATAAGGGATGAGCTGTCTGCGGCAAGTTGCGCTGACCTGGTGAGAGGTGAGTCAGAAACAGAGAGCAGCCTGCAGGGATCAGCAGGGTCTGCAGATGACATGGGCTGCTGAGAGCCACCAAGCCCATGCTGTGAGAGTGCTCAGAAAAGTTTAATGAAGGATATGGGCTGCAGAGACCATAGCTGGTAGGGGACAGGGCCCCTGGAGGGAGGCAGCTAGAATCTGTGGCTGGTGAGCTGCTTTCCCATGACCCCTCCTCCCTGGTCCCCTGAGCAGACCTGAGGGGTCCCCAGAAGATGCAGAACTCAGGTGCCAAGGTGCACTCTGTGCAGTATGCATCCCAGAGCCTCTGGGCTGGGCAAGGACCCATTCTCCTCCAGCCAGCATCACGCATTTGGCATGCAATCTCCTCAGCAGCCATCCTGGCCTCTTCTAGGTTGGGCACAGCACTCATTTACACAGATGCCACCTCCCACTGTCTACTCATGTCCTTCCCTTTGTCTCTCCACACTCACCAGCACCGAGACCTGCTCTCAGCACCGCCAGAGCCCCTACTCTGTGCCAGGGGCTGAAGAAGTCAGAATCAGCCCTGCCCTCAGCCTGTTGGGTAGACAGAGTAGTAAACTAATCACCAGCACACAGTCCTCACAAGGAGCCCAATACCACCTGCCCTCCCCTGCATCGGTATACGTGTGACTTAGCTGTCCTCAGAACATTTCTATTTGCTGGACCAATGGGAAACGGATCCATGGTGGCGGAAAAACATGGCTGCCAAGCAGCCCAGTCAGATGGCATGAGCAAGGATGACCCCTGCACCTGGGCCAAGAGCCAGGGACCCTGGATAGGTCTAGGCCAAGACGCAGGCAGGGCCCAGGCTCTGCTCCCATTGAGGAGGCTCTTTGCTTTAGCAGTGGGAGAAAGACACAGAGGAAGGAGGGTGGGGTGGGGGAGCAGGGGGCCCAGCAGTGGTAGCGCTGCGCCATCCGATACAGCGGTCGCCATGCACCTGCCTTCGCAGATGTGCACAGGCCACGCACCCAATGCTAGGCTCTCTAAACAAGCCTCTTTCCAAAGGTCGGGGAGGGGGAATGAGACCAGGGCACTGGGGTGGGGGAAGGTAGGGGAATGACTCACCCAAAATTAAACAGGGAGGCAAGAATCAAGCCAACAGATGCTCATAAAGTTAAACGCAGGTATACTCCCACTCCTTGGTAGTTTCGAAGACAACTGGAAACATATGTCCACAGGAACACTTATATGAGTGTTCATGGCAGCATTATTTCCTAACAGCCAGAAAGTGCAAACAACCCAAAGGTCCATCTGCTGATAAATGATAAACAGAATGTGGCATATCCACACCAAGGAACATTATTTGGCAATAAAAAAGGAATGAAGTACATGCTACAACACGGATGAACCTTAAAAATATTTGCTAAGTGAAAGAAGCCAGTCACAAAAACCCACATACTGTATGATGATTCCATTTATGTGAAATGTCCAGAACAGCAAATCCACAGAGACAGAAAAGAGATTAGTGGCTGCCAGGGGCTGGAGGGAGGGGGGACAAAGGGAGTGACTGCTAATTGGTACAGAGCACAGGATTTCTTTTTGGAGGAACGAAAATGCTCTGGAATGAGATAATAGTGATGGTTACACAAATTAGATAGTAGGGATGGCTGTGAAAATACCAAAAACTACCAAATTGTGTACTTTCAAAGGGTGAATTTTATGGTATGTGAATTGTATATAGATAAAGCCAAAACCCCAGATCAGCGCCATAACTCCCAATCCAGCAGTGCTTGCGAACAGTTTGCTCTTGCTCTGCCCAAAGCCCCAGGTGGCGGGGTCCTGCTGACTCCCTATGGTCTCACACCCAGTTCAGACCCGCAGGAGAGGAGGGCTCAGGAGGCGACTGCGTCCCTTCACATCTCTTTGCAACTGTGAGCTCACCATGCCCACCTGCATGTGTGTTCTTCTCGGGTCTGTCTGTGCAGGTTGGACAGAGGCACACAGCCCTTGGGCAGCAAACCCTGGTGGTCAAATGTAGCAAGTGAGAAAAGCATGAGCCGAGAGCCAGCCCATGGCTCACTAGGGAGAGTGTGGTGCTGATTACACCAAGGCGGCGGGTTTGAATCCCTATATAGGGATGGCCGGTTAGCTCACTTGGGAGAGTGTGGTGCTGATAACACCAAGTCAAGGGTTAAGATCCCTTTATCGGTCATCTTAAAAAAAAAAAAGAAAAGCGTGAGCCGGCGTGATATCTGACTCCATGACAGACACACTGACCCACACCAGGTGTCCTATCGGAAAAGATGCTCAGGAAGAGCCACCAGCACCTGGGAGGCCTGGCCTGTGCAAAGTCACTGCCACCCCTGTGTGGCTCCAGGGCCAGGCCACAAGGGAGAGGGAGGCCAGAGGAGCAAGTGGTCCTTGCTTCTGGCAGAATTAACACCCCCACTTGTCATTAGTCTCTCATTAAACATGAGAAACCTGAGGCTTGGACAGTCACCTGCTCAGGGTAACAGTGAACCTGGGTCTGAAACTGGCTTTGTGGCCAGACATTCCTGACTTCCAATCCTGTTCCTGCCACTCAGTCACCTGACCCTGGACCAGTTAAAACTCTGTCCATACAACCACCCCCCAACATCTACTGAATCCACTGAGCAGCTACCATGGCCTGGTCTTTGCTGGCTCTAGGAGATGCAAGGCTGAACAGGATAGGCTCTGCCTGTGATGGAGTCACAGCCTCATGGGGAGACAGGTGGTAAACATTAGCTAATAATACAGGGGGTCTTCAAAAAGTTCACGGAATGATTCATATTATTGTTCATTCATTCATTATTTGTTGGCAGCTGGCCGGTACAGGGATCTGAATCTGTTAACCTTGGTCTTACAAGGCTGTGCTCTAACCGAATGAGTTAACCGGCCAGCCACGATATTATCTTTTAATTCAAATTTTCCACAAACTTTTTGAAGTACCTTGTACAGTGCAAGCTCTAGGGAGCAGCCACTTGGCCTAGGGGGAGCCTGCAGGCTTTGGAAGCACTAGAGCATGAGTTTGCCAAGGGAGTGAGGTGGGAGAGCGGCATTCAAAGTGTTCTCTTAACTAGCGTAAGGTACTCATGGATGTACAGAAATACAGGGCACAATCCAGGAAACTAAGATTTGGTCTAGCCCAGAGTGGGCATGGGGCAGGAATGGGGGAATGACCAGAAGTCAGGCCCAAGTGGTAGGCAGGTGCAGACCACCGAGAGCTTATGACCCAGACGAACAAGTCTAAACTTCGTTGTGCAGGGGATGGGGAGCCTCAGTTTCCCCATGTATGCAAATGGAGATTTGACTTGCAAGGCTGTTCTGAAGATTATAAGAGATACTTTACGTGCAAAGCAGAAAAAGCAGGCCTACCAGAAAGGGTGGCTCACCACCTTGATGACAAGTTTTTGATCTCACAGCTGAGCTGTTCGCGGCCCTGACTTAGTGAGTAGGCAGGGACTGCAGTGCCTACAAGGAGGGCTTCCAACTCCACTTTTCCACTGAAGAGAAGCCGCATTGCCTGTCTCTGTACTGCAGCCTTCTGCCCCACTGGGGAGCGCAGCCAGCAAAGCTGCATATTTCACATTTTGAATTCTCTTATTTTAGAAAGTTTAACACCAAACGGCAAATGAATGCAAATTACACTTCAATTGCACAATTAAAAGCGGAAATGTTGTCTACAGGTTCCTGCAGTACTCCAGCCACTCCTCTTATGCTTATCAAAGGATCTGTCCCTGGTCCCTAAGGGCTGGCAAAAAGCCCACAGCCCTGCCTGGGGCAACATCACTTATGACAGCCCTTCTGGATGAACTTGCAGCCCTTGGTGTGTGGACAGGAACCTCTGGGATGAAGACAAGGTGATCTCTGTGGCCTTGCTTACTGGGCACCCCGCTGAAGGCCAGGAGGAAAGGCCCCAGCACTGTAGACACACTGCTCAGCCACTCCTGCATCAGTTTCCAGAAAAATGGCTAGTTCTTCCAGTGAGCAGGCAGGCTGGGCCCATGCCTGTGGTTGGCCTGTAGTCCTGGCTCTGAGGATGGGGACAGGCTCGAAGAAAGCAGGAGGAAGGCACACCAATTAGTATGCACTACACAGCTTTTTGCAAAATGAATATAAAACACTTGTGCTTTCTTTTTGTGTGAGAGAAAGAAGGGGAAAGAGAGGGAGGGAGGGTGGTTATAAGAAAGCAATATTCTGCCGGAGCAGGAGCGCCTGTCATTACCATGGTAACAGGCGGGGGTGGGGAAGGCCCATCAGCTGGTCCCTCCTGGAGTGGAGAGAGCTGGCCATCTGTGGAGTAAAGGGTCAGAGTTGGTGGCAACTGGGTGTGGGGAGCATCTGACAAGGCAACTCTGAGGGGAGCCTTGGGGTGAGGGATGGGGGCTTCTCACCCTCCACAGCATGGGCAACAAAGATGAGGAAGCCAGGGGATTCCTGAGAAAGACCCCCAGTCTTGGAGGTGACTTTACCCCAACAAAGGGCATGTTTCGGTGTGGGAGGGGAGTCACCTTCTGGGTGGGGCCGCTGCAGGCTGTCACCCACACACTGCATTCCAGCAGCCAAGGACAGTCTCTCTTGGATGGCAGGTGTTTCCCTCTTTTCTTTGGTCCATCCAGGCACTCACTGTTCCAATACTTTGTCTATAGACCCACCCTGGAAGGCCACTTGGAGATGGGGGCTCCCTTCTCTCACTCTTCCCGAGTGCTGTGGCTGCTCCTTTACTACCTGGGAACAACTGGAGCCTAGAGACTGGCTTTGCAAGGCCAAGTCCCTAGGCTGGGAGGTCGTCCTGGCCTCCTACCAGGACTGCTGAACATGAAGTCCCAGGGCGAGGCACTTGGCAGATGTGGAACACATACCTGCTCACCAGGCAGGGAATGGAAGGTAGACACTTCTGAAAAGCTCCTGCCAAGGGGGATGGACGGAGAGGCCTCCCACTGTACTCCAAC